GAGACTTTAGTCTTTGCAACTTCAGGGATCTTATCTATGCACAATCAGCTTGTAACACTCCAAAGAGAAAGGAAAAATTGAAATCGCATCATATGACCCCTTTAAGTTAGTATGCACTTGAAACTTCTTCAAACACTGTATGAAAGCTAGTCTGAATGGTGCAAGGCCATCACAAACTTACAATGACAAGATGTTAATTAAACTTACAATGACAAGGTGTTAATTGAGAACACGGTCTCGTTAATTGGAATTCTGTTCATTTCTGTCTCAAATCTGGGCTAGAATTAGAGAATCGTTTAGTATTCGTCGAATATGAGGGCCAGGAACTGTTACTGTATGGCTGTCTAAAGTTGTTTTTCCCCCAACTGATTTGAGATCGGATTTGTGTTTGTTAATTGATTAAAACACTCAAACGACTAAGTAATCATCTCTGTTAGCTTTCGCTTCCTCCATATTCTTTGTGGTAAAGCAGAAGGTACAAAAACAACAGCGCTGAGAACAAGCAGAAGCGTCCTTCATGTTGTGTGACGCAGGCGCCCTCTCCAGGTAAAGAGACAACATGCACCATCCAAAAACCACCATAAAAGTACTACTTCTTCATTTCTATAGATGTAGGCCCTGCAACATTTTCTCTCATTCTGAAAAAGCACTTATTCATCAAAAATCTTGAAGTTGAACATGAGAACTGGATCAGTGCGAGCGAGTTAACATGCAGTGGTCATGTTGCATTGAGCTGTATGAACTTTCCTTCAAAAAGTATAGTGGTTCGGTAGTGGCAGATTTTATAACTGAGGTGAATATTACTTTTAAAGGGGTCATATGATGCGATTTCAATTTTTCCTTTCTCTTTGGAGTGTTACAAGCTCTTGGCAATCACAGTGCACTGGGTCAGCTGGCCAATCAGAGCAGACTGCGCTTGTCGGAAGGAGGGACTTTGTAGAAAACGAAGCGTTTGAGAGAGGCGGGGCATAGAGGACCTACAATAATGTACAGTATTTGAAAAATAATGTGTTTTTTGAACATTAAAGCATGTCAACATATTCTGTTACAGCAAATACACAAAAGAATGATCTTTAAAAAAGCATCATATGACCCCTTTAAATCAAAATATGCATGGACTTAAAGGGATAGCTCACCTCAAAATGAAACTTGCAAACCTCTGTGGATTTTAGGAGAAGACATTTTGAAGGAAAAACGTGACTTATTTACAATCGAGTCACCTATATCAATTTTACAATTTTACATTTGACCCATACAATTGATTTTTGTTGTCAAATGACACAAAAAAGAGGTATTACACAGTCACATTATTAACCATAATAGCTGCCATAAAAGTTGCATAAATTTAAGTGCTTTTAAAATGTTACTTGTATTCAGTACATTTTTTTGTTTGCTAGTTCCAAAAGGTTTATGTATAATTTAATGTCCTTTAAGAAATGCAAGAAATTTAGCTTGCAAAAGCCAACTTTTTATGGAAAGTCAATGTTTTTTAAATCTTCTTTTGTGTTCCGCAGAAGAAAGAAGGTGAGTTTGAGTAAATAATGAC